TGGAAGCACCTGCCCCCTCCCCCTTGCCCGTTAAACACAGAGTGACACCTGTGCTGTAGGCCTTCTCCTGTAAGTCACGAGTGAACGTGCCTCACTCCCGCTGGCTGTGGCAGAGTACTACAAGGCAGAACTCTTCCATGGAGACTTGAGGGGTTAAAGACATTCCCGGGGAAAGCCCCTGATCTTTCATTCCATTTTCCCACGGGCTTATTGAAGGTGAGCTGAGAGCAAGACCACAGCCATGTTGAGTTGAACCAGCCCTGGGTACGCAGAATGAAGCCGGCTTTGGCAGTGTCCTTGAACTCAGCTTGAGTGTAGAATGCTAACTGCTGTCGGAGCCCTCTAGCCTTCTCAGCCATTATCTCCGGAAGATGAGGAAGAGTTGAAATTTTAATATCAGAGTCTTAAATTATAGAATTCTTCTCTAACGTTTTAATTGTGCCTGGCGTCCTTGGGCCGTCACGTGTTGTCAGAATTATAGCCCACTTGCATGCCGGCATGTCACCTGTAATTAGTATGTGTACAGGGACTGAGCATCAATGTCGTGTGAAAAATTGGAGTTATTTGAGCACCTGAGTTTCTGGAGGCGCTCCTGGGCTAGGTCTAACAAAAATTAGCTTAGCTTCACTAAGCTCTCTGCTCCTCTTGGAGGGATTATTGATCAGGCTCAATAGCTTCAGAGCAAGAACCCCGTATTTGGAGGGAACATGAATCCCCCGTGTAACTGACCAGTCCCCAATGGATGGACACATAGGCTGGGTCTGTCTTTTGCTACAAGAAGCAGCAAGGCCGTGAACTAACTCCCCGTATTCCCTGATGGAAGCATCCCCTATGTGGATGGTTGCTATGGGGCAGCTCTCTCACAACTCTTCTGGTCTGGCCCCTGGGCCCTGCCCTTCCCAGCCTGGCTTCTCACCTGGATCCAGCGGTCGCCCCGGTTCACATACTGGAAACAGACCTTCAGTTCACAGTTGGTTTTCTCGACCAGGTTCTTCACCTCTTTCAGGAACAGGTAATTGTCCTTCATGCTGAGGAGTTTGGGGGAGGCGAGGAGGGAGGGTAAGGAGAGACCCAGGTCCGCCCCACAGAAGCTGCACTGTGCCGGGCAGATGGACCATCGCCCGGGCTCTCTGCACCCTTGGGAACGGCTGCCAGAACCCAAAGTCGAGTTCTCTCTGACCCTACCCACTTGTGTGGTCTTTTTCTAAGTCACGAGCAAAGCCTCACCCCTCTAGGTGCCTCAGATATTTGAGAGGAGCTATGCCCACTGAAGAAGAGGAAGACCTTCGACAAGACTGGTCGGCACAGTGGGCAGCAGTGGGCTCAAGCATGGGGTGTTGTGGGGACGCTGCCGGACCAGGCAGGCTTTGGGTTTGTTGTACACAGGGTCGCTTGCTGGGGGTCGGAACTAACTAGGGGGCACCTAACAGCATCCCCGGGGGAAGACCTTTGACAAGGTGGCTCGACACAGTGGCTGAAACAACGGGCTCAAGCCCCACAATTGTACGGATGATGCACGGATTGCGCACAGGGGTGCTGTGAGTCCTAACGATGCCAGTAACGACGGTGGCGGTGACGTACCTCAGAGGAGTGCAGTGCTGCCTAGCATTTGGGGACAGCGGGTGGACCCAGGACCTGGAGGACCCCAGCAGGACAGTGAGACAGTCTCCTGTAGGCACGTCTCACCTTGCGGTGTCTGCCTAGCACATGACAACCATTGCTATGACGTCTATTTAGACCCATAGTGACCCCTACAGGACAGAGTCGAACTGCCCCACAGGGCTTCCAGGGCTGTAATCTTTCCAGTGGCTAGTGGGTTTGAACCGCCAACCTTTTGATTAGTGACTGAGCACTTAATCGCTGCCCCACCAAGGCCCCTTAAGCCAGTGGTTCTCAACCTGTGGGTCTTGATCCCTTTGGGGGTCGAACGACCCTTTCACAGGGGTCTTCCGATTCATAACAGTAGCAAAATGACAGTGATGAAGTAGCAACGGATATAATGTTTTGGCTGGGGGGTCACCACCACACGAGGAACTGTATGAAAGGGTCGCAGCACGAGGAAGGTTGAGAACCACTGTCTTAAGCACATACTAGGTGCTGCAATTCTGAGTACCATGAGTTGAAGGTCTATTGCACAGGAGGCTCCAAACTGCGCGGCAGGGGACGGGGACAGAGAGAGGACAGGGTGGCTTCCAAGCACAAAAGCCTCACTGCGATGCTGCCCCGTGGGCATTCAGAGAAGCTGAAGCACAGAGAAGCCACGGGGAGGCTCCAGGTTACACCGATGGCCCGTGAAAAAGCCAGGATGCTAACTCAGGCCCACCTGGCCCTGAAGCCTCGGCTCTTTCTTGGTCACCACTCACCAGCACACGAACACCGACACCGGAGGCAGGATGTTGGGCGTCATGATCCACGGAGCCACCCGGAATACCACGGTGTCCGTGAAGATGGGTGTCAGGGGGATCCCCTGGGGGTGAGAGAGAGGGGGGATCACAAAGGTTCATCACCATGCTTCCGAAGAGGGTCAAACTGATAACTTCAACAAACCCACCCCAAACTCACTGCCATCAACATCAAGTCTATTCCGATTCAGCACGACCCTACAGGACAGGGCCGAGCTGCCCCTGTGGGTTTCTAAGACTGCTACTGCATGGGAGTGGAAGGCCTAGCCTGTCTCTGTGGGGCGGCTGGTGGTTTCGAACTGCTGATGGATGCTGACCAGCCCGACCTGTGACCACTAGCCACCAGGGCTCCAAATTGCTCACAGCGGTACACAGTGAGCACTTACTGTGTGAATGCCAGGCTCTGTGTGAATCAGGTGCACCTGCATTGACTCGTATTGCTTGCGACGATCCCAGGGCAAATAGAACCCTTGTGACACAGAGGTGGACACTGCGCCCCAGAGCTTTAAGTCAATGTCGCAGGCCACACGATGAATTAACCTGGAAGGTTCGGTGCCCCACACGCTTAACTACCACCCTGAGCAAAGTTCTCTTCCTGAAACTGACCACAGGATGTGTGAGCCAGCCCCGAGCCCGAGGAGCTGCTTCTGTTTTGGCTCTGGGCACCCTGCCCTTTTCTGGGTGTAAGCATTTTAAAGCTGTCTGCTCGAAAGCGCCTACATTCAGATGAGTCTTTTGTTAAGGAAAGGATCGGCAGCTTGTCTGGAATCTGAGAGAAAAGGTGATATGACGTCAGGGTTCATTTGAGTGGCTCCTTTGAAAAGCAACACCCCCCGCTCCTGGCAGGGGAGATGGGATGGGAGGCGTGGGTCCTGGAGGGGACGGGGAGGGGGCCAGGGGCGCGGCTTGCCGCAGGGCGTCAGGCTGCTGGCTGACTCTCTGCAGGTCTCAGTCGGGGCGTCTGAGAGACTCAGGGTCAGGCTGCTCCGGACACAGATGGCAGCAGAAGCCCCTTCCCCACACCGGCTCCTGCCAGCACCCCCTTTTCTATACTCATGGCGTTCTAAGAGCATGATGGGGGCTTTAAAAAATTCTTATTTTAAAATTATGCTTTGTTGTGTTTGGGGCTTACATAGGCAGTTAGGTTGTCCTTGGACAATTTCCACACAAACTGATCAGTGACGCTGGTTACATAGCTTCTCGTCTTTGCCTTGGAATAAATGTTGACCTTATCGGCTCATATAGATTAAAAAAAAAATAGAGCTCCCGATCTAATGGGTTATATCCCTTTTTGTGTGTGTACTCCGATTTTAAGTTAAAAGGTGGCCTCAGAGGTAGCACACCGTCAGGTCAGCAGCGGCACCCTGCACCCTCCCTTTCCGTGGAAAGCAGCAGTCTCAGTCCGTCTGAGGCTTGTCCCTGTGGGCGCCACCATTCTGAATGCCGTGTCCCCCGAATTGGAGTTCGTACAGGAGCCATGCTGAGTGTTATTGTGTTAAAGGAAGGGAGACAATCAAACAGAAGTGTGGTTCTGAAGGGGTGTGGCTGAGAACAGAGGAGAGATGGTGCCTGTCGACCTTTACCAACTGCTCTGAGAGGGATCACGTTCAAGGTCCTGGAGGGAGTGGGAGAAAAATGTGGAACAAAACTAAAATCATAAAAACAAACACAAACCAGGCTACTGGTTGGAAAGAGACTGGTAGAACCCCTAAGACTGCAGCCCTTAGTCAGCCTTCAGGTCTGGAAATGAACTCACCCCTATCGCCCACGTGTCAGCCAAACAATAGTCAGGTTCTAGAGGGAGACAGTGACCCCCGGAGGTACGCACCCTGAGAAGAACCAATCTCTTGAGATCCATGGTGCAGCATCCCCGAGGGCTAAGTTCAGGAAGTACAGAAGGAGGAAAGCCCTGGGAGGACGTGGGATAAGCGGGGGAATTGCAACCAATGATATGAAACAAGATGTGTATGGATTGGTGAATGGCAACCTGCTCTGTAAGCCCTAACCCTAATCCTAGCCTTAATCCTTCCCCCAATTTACAATGAAAAGTAAAAAAAAAAAAAGAATAACACACTGAATACTAATGATGGATGACCAGATGCGATGTGGGCTGACATCAACGATAACATACAGGAAGAAACCAAAGGTCATGAACAGAGAGAGGAGCTCTCTCAGCTTCTCCGCCATCCCGACTGGTGGCTTCAGGTTGTCACCATGTCTTCTCATGAGACTTTTGGGATCAAGAGAATCCTGGCCAAGAAACAGAAGCAGAATCGGCCATTCCCCAAAGATTCGAATGAAAACTGGCAATAAGATCAGGTACAACTCCAAGAGAGGACATTGGAGAAGAACCACGCTGGGTCTGTCAGGAGCTCCCCCGCCCCCTCCCCCAGGGATGGCACACATGGCCGCATTTTCCCAGGCTCACGAGCGGTCTGTCATGCTGAGTTTAATGAAGACTTTTGCCACCATCTGATCAATTGAACTTGCATTGGCAAATATCTGGTTTCTTCCTTGGTTTTTATGCTTCCGCATGCAGAGTTTAACAATACATAACGTGAGGCCATTGGTTTGTGTGAAAAAAAAGATACAAAAAGGAAAAAGGACCCGACCAGTGTCCGGAGAGCCTCTGACACTTGCTTCTGGTGGCTGCAGTGAGGGGAAAGACGGATGGTGTACCAGAGCTGGACAGCAGCGCTCAATGGGCAGTTAGAGACGCAGACGAAGTCACGTGTTACCATGAAATGTCCAACGACCTGGAGTTGGAAAGCCCACATGGTAGAGCCTGCCTGGTGGTTCTCAGGAAGCCTTGGCAGCACGGGGATGCAGTGCTGGGCTGCTAAAGGAAAAGCTGGGGGTAGACTCCACCAGCCACTGGGAAACGACGGGGCTGTTGGCTCCTGTACGGATTGGCAGTTCTAGAAACCCAAAGGAGCAGTTCTATTCTGGCCTGTAGAGTGGCCATGAGTCAGAAGCTACCAGATGGCGGCTCCCCCTCCCCCGCCCCCCAAGGGGAAGGTTTATGAGCAAATTATTGAATGACCAGGAAACATCAAAAGAAGATAGAAGGAATACAGAGTCACTGTCCCACAAAGAATTGGTCAGCTTTTAACCATTACAGGAGGTAGCATATGACCCAAGAATTGATGGTACTGAAGGAAAACACCCAGGCTGTACTGAAACATTGGCAAAACCAAACCAGATAAACCCCCAAGGCACCAAGAATTGGCAAAATACCAATGGGAAGGTTTCACCACACAGATGCAATGCTGGCAGTGCTTACGTATCTGTCAAGACATTCGGAAGAGAGGGGTCAAACTTAGATGGCCAACCGACTGGTGGAGACCCATAGTTGCGGCCATTCCGAAGAAAGGTGGCTCAACAGCATGCAGGGATCATGGGACACGGTCACATGCAAGTGGTCTGAAGATAATTAATAAATAGTTGCAATAATACATTGACTGAGAGCTGACAGAAATTCAGAAGAGGACGTGTAATGGAGGATGTCAAGGGTGATAACAGATGGGTCTTGGCTGAAAGCAGAGAGTACCAGAAAGACGTTCACTTGTGTCTCATTGACTACACAGAGGCACTCAACTGTGTGGATTATAACAAACTGTGGATACAGTAGCGGAATGGGAGTTCCAGAACACTTCACCGTGCTCATGTGGAGCCTGAACATGGGTCAAGAAGCAGCCATCAAATAGAACAGGCAGAAACGGTGTGGCTTAAAATCAGGAGAGGCACGTGCCAGTGTTGTATCTTTTACCACATTCATTCCCTCTGAGTGCCGAGCAAATCGTCTAAGACGCTGGACTCCATGAAGAAGAACGGGCATCAGGGTTGGAGGAGGCTCATGAACAACTTGACGTATGCAGATGACACGATTTTGCTGCTGAACATGAAGAGGACTTGAAGCGCTCCCTGATGAAGACAAGCCTTCATGGATTGCACAGCAAAAGTAAACATCCTCTCACCCGGATCAATGAGCAACATGAGGGGATTTCATCTCACGTGGGTCTATATCCATGCTCATGGAAGCAGCAGTTGAAAAATTAAAAAACTGTATTGTATTGGGCAAATCTGCTGCATTAGACCTCTTTAGTGTCAAAGAGCAAAGCTGTCACTTGGAAGACTAAGGGACGCCTGATCCAAGTCATGGTATTTTCAATCATGTCATCTGCATGCAAGAGTTGGACACTGAATACCGAATGTACCACGGGCTATCAGAAGAATGAATGCATTTGTGCTGGAAGAGAGACAGCCGGAATGCTCCTTACACGTGAGCAGGGCAAGACTTTGTCTTATGTATTTGGACATGCTATCAGGAGGGACCGGTCCCTGGGAAGGACATCACGTTTGGTGTAGTAGGAAGAAACCCCCCCCCAAAAGACCAACAACCAAACTCACTGGCACTGAGTTAATTCTGACTCGGGGCGACCCTTCTAGGACAGGGCAGAATGGTCCCTGAGTTTCCTAGACTGCACCTCTTTACAGGAGTTGCCAGCCCCGACTTTCTCCTGCACGGCACCTGGTGGTTTCAAACCGCTGACCTTGCAGATCGCAGCTCAACCAGGGCTGCTGGTGGAGTAGAGGGTCAGGAGAGAGGAAGACCCTCCATGGGCTGAATGGACACAGGAGCTGCAACCCTGTGTCCCAACGCAGCACGGTTGGCGTGAGGCCTGGCAGGTTTTCATTCTGCATGCACTGGGCTGTCGTGAGCCGGCGTGAACTTGACAGAGTCCACAAGAACAGCAATGATCTGCCTCTGCACGTGCGATGCTGGCATTTCGCTTAGCCACCGATCCCCTGGCGGGCACTTTGCACGTTTCGTTTTTTGGGGTTGTTGGTCTTGTGAGTAAAGTTGCCACGAGCCCAGGAGTGAGTCTACCGCTCGCGTCCTGACTGGTCACAGGACCGTTCTCTTTCCAGTTTTCGTGGAAGTACTTCCTGAGTGAGAACTTTTCAGATTTGGATACTCATAGCCTTCGCACGCCCCACCCCCACAAGCCAGCAGTCATATACTCCTCTTGCTTTTTGCTTTACAGAGAAGGGAAGCCAGGGCATGGATCAACAAGCCCTCCAGCTGTTGTGGCGTCAATTCTGACTCATGCCACCCCATGGGGTCAGACCGGAACCACGCTCCACAGGGTTTCAATGGCTGGTCTTCCAGAAGTAGATCACTGAGAACCTTTCTTCTGAGGTGCCTCGGGTGGATTGGATCCTCCAAGCTGTCGGTTAGCGGCCCATTGCATTAACTGTTGGTACCACCCAGGGACACCCACGAAAGCCCGGGGAGATGAATTCGCATGGGCAGTGTTTCGTGGAGGTCCAACCAGGATTCCGATCTGGGTGGTTCACGCCATCCTCGTGAGTGTACGCTAGACTTAGCCTCCCCCTCTACCAGCCCACAGTGTCCTGCCTCAAGGTGGGCCATGGGCCAACAGGGATCCCGAGGCTGGGACAGCAGCCAGGGGCCTCCCCAGAGCTGAGAGAAACAGGGTGGGCAGAGGCAGGGGTCGGGGACAGCAATCACACCCTGGGATGGGGAGCAGGCACCGTCCTTCTCCCCTTGACTCCCCAAAGCAAGAGCAAAGGTACTTGAGATGTCTGCTACAGGGTGGGGCCTGGCATGGGACGGGGCTCGATGGTTTGGCCTGTGGTCAGAGTGGTGTGACCCAGGGTGGTGGGGGGCGGGGGCGGGAAGGAGTGGAGGGGTCAGAATGTGCGCATGACCTCACGTGAATGGCCTAGGTGAGCCTTCGTGCTAACCAGGGAGGTTCTGTGAGAACTGGGCCCTCACTACTGCAAACAGAATGTCGGAACCCCTGACTCAGAGGGCATTCCTGGGGAGTAGGTGCAGTCAGTCAGGAGGGACACAGCTCAGAGGACCCTGGAAGACCCATGGGGGTGGGTGGGTAGGGCCTCTGGGCCTCCCAGTTGGGTCTATTTTTGGAACTTTGAGGAGAGTGAAGCCCCGTGTGGATTCCTGCGAGTGGTCCTATGAAGTAGTGGCCCACTCCCTATATAAGGTGACCAGACATCCTGCTTTTGGCGGGACAGTCCCGATTTTTAACAATTGTTCCCGTGTCCCGCGGCATTTTTAAAAAGTCCCTATTTTTGGAAAGAATGCACCACAAGCTAGGGTATAGGGTTTTCGGCTGCCATGTGGCTATTTCACCAGGATATGAGTTTTATCAATGGTGTCCCACTTTTGTCCCGCTTTATCAATGTTGAAATCTGGTCACCTTACTATAGGACAGGCCAACAGAAAGTTTTCAGGTCAATTCATAGCAAATGCATTGAATTTCTACTCTGTGGCCAGCCTGAGCAAGAGCCTTCAGGGGAGCCGAGATGAGCCAAATACAGCCACGGTGGGTTGCAGACAGCCATGTCCCCTCACCTCGGCCATATACTCCAGCAAGCTGACGTGAATGGAGACCAAGCCTGAGAAGCCCTCGTCGGGGAACCGGAGGCCTTCCACGAAGAACAGCAGCTCCGCGGAGCCACCCGTGTATTTGACCACGTGGTAGAGCTTCCGCCGGCCCAGGATGTGTATGTAGCGCTGGCCAAAGAATGGGTCTGCAGAGAAAACAACCAGGGTGAGAGCCCAGCCACCGGCAGGAAGAGGTCGATAGGTGGGATCATCGATGGGGAGCAAGATGGCAGAGTGACTTGCCCTCTGGCTGCAGACAGAAAAGCACAAGCAGGAGAGGCCACCCCAAGGGTGGCAGCCTGGCCACTGCCAGCATCTCAGCACTGCTGTGCCCAAGCTCTTGGCACTGAGCCTAACAGCCTCTCCGGCCCGGGCTTCCTCGGTCTCCCATGAGTGGCAGAAGGTCAAGGGATAGCAGACAGTAAGTGAGCAGGTAGTGGGTTCAGGGGAGGATATTATTGCTCCTATTTTACAGATGAGGAAACTGCGTCTCAGAAAAGGTGAAATGGCTTGTCCAGAGTCAAATGGCTCACCGAGGGCCTAAGCAGGGACCCCAAGGCCCCCTTCTCTTTATATAAAAAAGTACAATGTAGCTATTTGTACCCCCCAAGCCCCTTCTGTATCCCGAGAGTCACACTGGTTTGCAGCAAGGCCCGTGCATGGGACTCTGGCCGCACATTTCTTGGCTTAGGAAAAGCAAGTTTCCTGCCCCACTCCACCCCTCCAGCTTTTTACAGAGCTGTCCCGTCTGCTTCAAAACGTCACCTCCCTCTCTCCTTCAGGTCTTGGGGGTGTCACTCCTGGGAATCCTGTGCAGATTTCCGAGCGAGGGGCTCTAGAGCTGCCACCGTCCCTTCTGCCCCACCACAGCCCTTCTAACCAGGTGTGACCTCACGTGCCTAACTGTGCGTCCTGAGGGCAGGGACAGTGCCTGCCTCACCTACTTGGCAGGCCCAGCCCAGGCCCAGAGCCTGCACAGGCAGTGCTTAAAGCATGGTGACTGGATGGACATATGACTCCCATGTCACTCTTCATGGGAGAGGCCAACAGAGAATTTTCAGGTCAATTCATAGCACATGCGTGGAATTACTATTTTATGATGAGTGTGGGGAAGGACCTTCAGGAGAGATGGAGATGACCAAGATGCAGTCTCTGTGGGTGTCAGAGCAGGGCTCAGCAATGAGAAGATAAAGTGGGGTGGGCGGCGATGTGGAGGAACTGTAGGTGAGAGGAAGAGGGGAGGCCGAGTGGAAGCGTCTGTGCAGAGGAGGGCAGCAATCGAGACGCCCTTGCAGGTGGCAGGGACAGGGTGCGTGGGGGCGAGGAGATACTTGCATTGGCAAAGGCATGGAGGCAGAAGCCTACACATCTCCAGAAGGAGCTTCTTTATGCCCTGGAGAGCTGGAAGGATAGAATCAGGCTCAGCATAGCATGGTCGTCAGCAACAATGGGGACGGTTAATGATCAGTCACCCAAGGGTTAGACTGCATAATAGAACTGTTCTTCTGGGCGCAAGCAACATGCTTCATGGACAAACCAGGAAGCGCTCGACTAGACTGCAGTGCACTGTCTCACAAACATGTCGAGGGCCACCAGGCACCAGCAAGGGGCGGTTACTTTAGTAGGTATGACTTCCAGTGTCAAAAAAACTTGGGTTCAAGCCCAGGTTCAAACTCTGGTTCTTAGTGGCTGTTGAGTTATCAAGACCCCATGTATCTTAGGGTAGAACTGGGCTCTGTAGGGTTTTCCAAGAAGACCACCAAGCCTTTCTCCTGAGGGGCTTGGGGTGGACTCTGACACCCCAACTTTGCAAGGAGCAGCCGAGCATGTGAACACTTACACCACCCAAGGACTTCATGCCGGCCTCCTATACTCAAGCCTCACATTCTGAGTCCCCGGGGACTCATCTGCTAAGTGGGGATGCCAAGGTCTACATCACAGGGTCACCCCAAGATAAAAGGACATGACATTGGTATCAGATGGAGGGGGTCCCTGCTGTGGTTCCGGGGGATGACTCAGTGCTCCTCAACTGTGAGACTCCCCACCTTCTCAGGCCCGTCCTGTGGGCTACTTCCAACAGAAGGCTGGGAATCAATAGCCCCCCTGACCCCGGCTTACGCGGCTCTCACAACTGAGATGGAGAGAGTTGGACACACCGAATGTCCCAGGCAACTTGACACCGGCCAACACGGAAGGGGAGAGCCTTCTCATCCAGCAACGGCATGTGCCCTGGGGCTCAGACACTGGTAGGCCCTGCTTGATCTGCATCATGAAAGCTATCCTTGCCCAGGCCCCCAGGGCCTCCCGGGGCCACATTGGAACTGATGCCATGGGGAGAGACTGGGCCTAGAAAGCCAACTTGCTCTTTTGCATAAGTGGCAGCTGCACAAGCTTCTTTGGGGCGGATGGTGCCTCTGCCAGGCTCCAGGGTGGGCGAAGGACTGGCCCTGGGGAGACATTCTAGTCTGTCTGCCGGCAGCTTTCTCTCTCCCTCTGTGGCCCATGGCCGGTGAATCACAATGCGTCTCTCTCCCCTGGTCTCTTTCTGGTGGCTTGGGCCAGCTCCAGGCAGATCGATTCTGCGGTGGGAACAATCCAGCCATTGTCCTTAGGAGCCTCCTTCTTGTGTCCCCAGCTCGATGCAGACTGATCTGAGCATGGGCGGCCCTCTCCGCGGGCACCAACAATGCTCCTCTATTGAGCTGTCCACGTGCCGCCCTGACCTCTCACCCTCTCCTTGGGCCCAGCCGGCCAGCTCGACATAACCCATTGGCCACTTTGGAGCAATTCCACCCACTGAGCAGCTTCCTTGATAATGTGACCTACAGACTTGGCTTGCTGGTCACAGGGGACACTGCGTGCTCAAACCTGGCAAGTCCCAGGCAAAATGGGGTCACTTGGTGTGGGGAACAGAAGGATTTCTCTTAAGTTGTCTCCCCAAAATATATACCAGACTTAGCTGCTTGAGAATGACTTGTTAAGGCAGCGAAAGTAGTTCAGAGGTTATTCTCCCCAACATCGGCCATCTAGAGCAGCCAGACTGTAGGTCTGACTCACCCCAAATAGGGCCCATTCCTTTCTGTTATTGTTCCCTCGAAGCAGTGCCCATAGGCAAGCCCAGGACCACTCTAAGATGACTAAGCTTAGGTTACTATCTTACCACACATGCCCCCCTATTCCCTCCTCTTACTATTGCATATTCACCCCTAGGTCATCCCCCTCCTATTGCTTGCATGCTTCCCAGGATAGTAATTGCCTGCTTTATTGTATGAGACACCAAAATGGTCAAACCTGTTCAAGGATGAATTGTATTGCTCCTCTCTATGATGCATGATGCTGTGATGTATCCCCCTAAAGTAATATGATACGTGGTTAGCAATAAATAAGGAGAGCTGCTTCCCAAGGGGGGCGGCTCCCAAGAGGTGGGTGGCCGAGGGTGGCTGGAGATGGTGACTAAGGAGGATGAAGCAGCGGCTTCTTCTCTGACGGCTAAGTCCCCTCCACGAGGACCATCAAGCCGGGCTGAGGTGAGCAATGTTGCTACGTATCATGTAATGTGTCTGACTGTATTATTGTAATAACTCTCATGCTCTTGATGTCTTTAACATAATACTTATATATCTCAACCGTACAATTGTGCATTACTGAACCCAGAAGTAGTATTACTGAACCAGTGAGTTCAAGCAGAGGGTGGGGGCTGGTCCCCTCACCCCTCCATCAGTGTCATTTATTTTTTTTAATTTAATACTACAACTTGGTTATTCCATCACGGTAGGAAGGGGTGAGGCTCCAACTTTTGGGGGACTGTCTCTGTGGGGTGGAATTGATAAGAGTAACTGCAGGGGTCAGATCAGAAGCTTCGGGGACAGTGAGTGCGTCCCATGAGGGAAGGACATCAAAAGAAAGGGTCAGGGTGGTCGTGCTATTTAAGAATGTAACTGGTCACCGACTTGCACCCGTAGCAAGTGCTCAACTCGTGTAGGTTTATCTGTGTGTATACCCCCCACCCACACTTCTTTTCTTTTTCTACTTCACACGTCCTACAACTAAATCATCCAACCATTTCAGGGAGGTCCGTGCAATCTTCAACACATCCAACTTCAGAACATTTTCTGCTCATCCTCAATGCTGTTCGACCCCCATTTCCCCATCCTCCCTCCCCTGCCTGCCCCGAGCCAGCTACTGTCTGTACAGAGCTTCCTCTCCTGGAATTCATACACAGAAAATCAGACAACACTCAAACAGAAGCCTTCCCCCCGCCCTCTAAACCCCAGCAACGACTGGGCAAAACACAGAAAAACCTCCAAGACAAAGCACAGAACATTAAAAATGGAAACAACTTTAAAATGGGCCCCAAAGGAGATCAAAATGATAAGGTGTTGCATGTTAACCTAACCACACCATCGACTTTACAAGGCGCTCTGTCTGATAGCAAGGGTATTCACATTGCTAGGCGGTGTTCAGACGGGATTCATAGGCGGCTTAATCCATGTGGGGACCTTGCAAATGGATCGTGGGCTTGCTGTATACGCATTCAATAAGAATTAAAAGAAGAAACCCCAGAATTCCACATTTTGTGGGTGTCTCTTATGCGATCGCCACTGTCTCAGGAACCATCACTCTCCACAGGACGAGCAGCCCAGATAAGACAGACACTGGAGAGGGGGCATCCCGGAAGTTGCAGTAAATAGCTCCTCCTTTTTCTTGCTGGCTCAGGACTTATCCCAGAGGGCCCGACAGGGGACCACGTTACAGTGCCCTGCTCGAATCCATTTCTAATCACAAAAAGAGAAAACCGCTCCATAATGTCCCAACGTGACTATGAGCCACAGGTCTCTGGGATGGGCCTCCCCGATGCCCAGGCTGCCCTGGCATGCCATGACACCACAGTCAGGGAACCCCAGATCAAGGTCCTGCCTGCCCCCCTCCTGCCCCTGCTGACTGCCCTTCCCCCAGTGGCAACCCTGGCCTGCAACCAGGTAAACATCAACATCTCTGGCCCCCTGGGGCATCGGAGCCGACCTGACAGCTGGGGACCTTCCAACCTGGGTGAGGTCACTGTCTGGGCTCTGGGTGGCTGAGAAGGAGCCTGGCCCTTATGTGGCAGCTATCTACCGCTGTTCTGCTAACTCCCTTCCTGAGGCGAGGGCCCAGGGCCCCCGGGACCAACTCCTCACGGCTCTCGTGGCCTGTCCAGAAGGGGCTACCTGGGCTGGGTCTGAAAGCCTGCCCCCCCCCCCCACCAGGCAGTGGGCAGTAGGGGCACCCCACCCTGCACTATCACAAGCACAGTTGCCTTTTCGGCTGAGACAGCTTTTAAATACATAAATCAAGCCTTGACAGTCCCTCCTTAAAACCCTCTAATGGCTTTCCATTGCACTCAAAATACATTCCACACCCTCTCTGCATGCTCTGGCCCCTGCACAGCTCACTGACCTTGTCTCCACCTCCTTTCTGCATCCCCAGTGCTGCACCCAACTGGCTCCTGCACATGCTGTTCCCTCGGCTAAGCGCGTCCTTCCCTTTGTCTGCGGGTGGCCGCTCCTTCTCATTGCCTGTGTGGGTCTCAGCTCACCAGTCACCTTTCCTGACACCCCCCGGTCCTCAAGACTTGGGTCACCTCCCCTCTGCCCCTCCCGTTTTCTCTTACTTGGTCTCTTCCCCTGCCTTCAATGGGACTACTGGTTCAAAGGTCTCCCTGACTACGCTCAGCTCCTCGAGGACAGGATGCCGTTGTCTTGGTTCAGTGGTAGAATTCCCCTGCTCCATGCTGGAGACCCCGGCTTGATTCTTGGCTAATGCACTTCAAGGACAGTCACTGCCCAGTGGAGGGCTGCACGCCCCTAGCCTGGTGTAGCTTCCTACGGCGGACTGGGAGGAAAGGCCTGGAGATCCAGAAAGACAGAGCTGGAGCAGGCTGGGATGAGGAACCTTCTCTATGGCAGGAGTCCTCCCACCACCCAGCGGGGGCCCAGGGTGTCCTGCTGCCCCAGGGTGTCCACAAGACCCCACGGTATCTTCAGGGAGTCCTTACAATCTGGAGGCAGGTTTCAGCTCCAGGATGTCTGAGATGCTCAGAGGCACCTGTTGGCTGCAGATCTCAAAAGCCCTTCCTCCCCTGGGTCACTGGGAAGCAGGTTGTGGGTCCCACCTAAACGCCCCAAACAAACGTCTGAGCTGAGGAGGACTATGCCCTGGTGGAGCGTGGTGCACCGGCCAGCTATGATGACGAAGAGGAGGCCCTGGGCCGTGCTGAGCAGTAGGCTGGGGCCTTTGAGTCCAGGAAGATGTGCCTCACTGGAAGATCTACTTCCCAAGCACACAGCCATTAAGCACCCTGTGCACCCCCAACAAAATGATCAAACAAAGAAAAGAAAGTCCTACGGAGGGAGCACAGGCCTATTCTGATGCACCTTGAGCTGCGTTCACACCAGGTCCATATCCCCAAGAGGGCTGTCCTGGTCTTCTCCTGCACCTCGAGGGGCCATGGCTGTGAGTCCCCGGGGTGGAGGGGGTGGGAAGCAGGTGGCTTTGGGGGATGGTGCGGGGGCCCTCGGGAGCGCTGAGTGGATTGGGGCTGCAGGAGGGCGGGGTTGGGGCCACTCACTCTCCACGTAGAACACGCCCACTTTGTCCGCGTCGGATATGGGGATGGACAGCACAATCTCGTACCCGGCTGGCAGGCGGTCCGGGCCTTTGGTCCGCAGGACCATCTGGGACATGTCCTTGAGGTCTGTGGGCAGATGCAGCAAGGAGGTTAGCTCGAGAGCCCCTTGCTGGCGGCTCTCACCTAGGCAGGAAGGCACCAAGCCGCCCTGGCATAGCTGTACCAGGGCACTGTGGACAGTATGAAGGAGAGGAAACACCAGTTCTCGCCCCCCCTTGCCAGAGAGAGCCTCCTAGGAGCGGCTGGTTTTCTTTTTACTGTGTGTGTGATTTTTTTAACCAGTGGCCACTGAACTGCATCTACAGTGTAGGCTGCTTTCAGCACGAGGGGCCATTCACACCCCATCCCCAGGAGTCCCGGGCCCACACCAGCCTCAGCCCTGGACTTGCCCTGGTTGTTGTCCTGGCTTCCTCCCTTACTTCCCCCACACTGCCTGCCCCTGAGCCCCCGCCTCCCTGGCCCAGGCTTGGGCGTGTTGTCACCTTGCTTGCTGTAGACTTTCTCGTCACTGCAGTCCTCCTTGGGCAACCAGGGCAATTCGCGGTCACAGTTCACCAGCAGGATGGCCCCCTGGCCCTCGGGACCCCAGGTCCAGGATGACTGAGGGGGCAGGGAATGAGGTCAGTACCATTTCCTCTACCTTCTGAGTGATAGTCCCAACCCCAGGGCAGACCCTGCTGGACATCTGGCAACCTAGAGCCTGAACTCTGAGGTCGGGGAGGGTCAATGTGAGAGCTCAAGGCAAGCTCTGGAGGCGGAAGCGACAGAGAGAGGCAGGAAGGCACGGGCAGGCTTCCGGCTGGTGGAGGCAGAGTGCAGGGAGGCCCTGCACCGGGCAGCCAGAGAGACCCTCAGGCAGAGGTCCTGGACTGGCCCTCGGCTCCTCAGAGGAGTCAGAGGAGATGCTTGGAGGGAGCGACACCCAGCTCTCTCCTGACATGTGCCCAGTGTTGCAAAGTCATCCGCCTCCTACCCTGTCACTGGAGTGAGGCCGGAGCCAATGCCACTAGATCGTGCTGGGCCTTGCTTTAAGATCTGCCAGGGCGCCCTGGTGACTTGGGATTAGGCCCCAATCCTGGTGTGGCCTGCAAAGCGCTTTGGGACCTGCCTGCTCTCCACCATATCCTCTCTCCCTCCACTTTGCTAGACTGCTTCTGCTCCTGAAGACGCCAACCCTCGATCTTTGCCCAGTTCTGCTGCTCCTCTCTAATCACTGTTAGTCCCTCTTCCAGGAAACCCTTCTGAGTCTCCAGACCACAGCGGCCTCCCTGGGCTGACTCCTACGGCAACCCACGAGCCCTTGGCAGGAGGATTTAGGGCCATTGTGATGACATGACACGGACCGTGCCTTCTCTGTTAATGTGGCATCTCCCCATCTCCAGCCCACAGCCTCGGGGCTTCCTCAGGGCAGGGGTGCACCCCTCTCATTCTTTCTGAAACTCCAGGGTCTGAGCCAGGACTGATATAAATGAGTGACAAAAATCTGAGGACGTCACTGACCCCGGTGAGAAAGTTGGGCCAAATGCAGGTCTACAGGGCTTGGTGGCTTCACCAAGGTCACAGAGTCCTTGGCAGCTTGTGAGCCTTTGCCCCAGGACTGCTGGGCTCCAAGGCCTTGGTGGGCTTGGCTGCCACGGGCCTTGGCTGAGTCCCCGAGAACATATGCACAGGGCTGGCCTGGCTTCTTACAGAGGGTGGCACCCTTGGGAAGGGAGGGCCTAGGTGGTGCTCCCTTGAAGAGCCTGGGAGAAGAGGGCCTCTCAAATACTCCCGAGGTCTCCCTGTCCTACGTTCAGTGAGTCTGGGTGGGCTGTGAGACCCTCGACTTCTCACTGGTTGTGTTTATTTCTTCTAGAAAGTATCCATCTATTTTTAACCTAGTCTAGGCTTTGGGCTGTTATTATAAAAGTAACACATGCAATGTGGCCGATGTTGAAATGACCCAGAAGGACAGAGATGGCAAGGAGTTTCAGCAAGGGCCTTGCAAACTGGTGGTGGTGGTGGTGGTGGTGGTGGGGCACAGGAAGCAGAGAGCCCGAGAAGACAATGTGACCTACACAGGTGAAAGATGCATGCCAGGCTCCTAAAAGCAGGCAGAGAGACATTAACCATGACAATGGTTGCTTGTGGGGAAGAGGACGGAGCGGGCAGTGCAGGATACAGGGGACGGATGAATGAGTGAGGGCCTCAATCAATGGAGGCCTTG